ACATGTACCACTGTCCAGTTTTGTAAATACTGGAGAAGTCTACTTTCTGTAAGAGTGGTCTATAAGAAAGACTGAGCAGAAGCTGGGTCTGGTTTAGCCTTTAAGTAACAAGTCTTTTATTTGATCACTTAGAAGCTTAAACAGTGTAAATAAATGCTGGACAATGAAGATAAGTAGATCCTACAATGGTATGAGACTTTGTAGATCGAGATGGTTTTGCATCTATATAACAAGAAGTGAATAAATATTTGGAATACCATTTTGCCTTTGTTTTCAAACAGGAGACTTTGTGATGTATAAAAGACGATCATGTATTAAACTAGAAGAACAAGTCAACTACAGCACTGAGACAATTGTTTTCTAACGGTGTTGATGAAAAATCTCAGTAATATTGTCTAATACTGGAGATTAGGTTGACAGGAAAATACCCAACCCAAATATATTATACTACTGGCAATCATCACATTTTAAAAATGTGTAGGTTTGCCAATCTTCAAACAATCTGCTATCTTTACCAGCACTGGTTTTTCCCTAATAGTGCTTAGCTGATTCCATCACATACAATCAGCAAGAGAAACATTAGAACAAGACATTGCTTGTTGCTCCACTCTACTATTTAAGGGATGGTAAGTATATATAAGAACTGTGAATAAACTGTATCGGGTTTATCACTCATGCACATCAAGCTGCAGAACCTTCCACGAGCTTTGCAGCAAAATACAAGCTAAGCAAACAGATGAAAGTAATTTTTGCACTGAGTAAACTGTTTTAACGTTTCAAGTACAACTAGAAACATAAAGCTACTGCAGTGTTGCTGGTGACCTGAAGATAATAGGGAGATATAAAAGGAACCTCAGCAGGCTTCCAAGAGGGACATCCTTTTCATCCAGCTGTGCTCTGTAGACATACAGGCCTTCAAAAAACCCAGCATAGCACCGGTTTTAAGATAAAAAACTACCAATACCCATGTACAATTGGGAAGTTAGAACTAGGATAACACACAAAACAATCTATGCAAAGGAGATGGTTGGGAGGGAGAAGAAAACTCCAGCTATTTGGAGACACCAAAGGAACTGAGATGCCTCAGTTCCAAGGAATATTGCAGAGGATGGTAGATCAGAGAAACAGCATGAGAGAAAAAACAGCACCATGCAAAGGACAAAAGGGCAAAGGCATTAAAGTACAAGGTGTGCTGTCCTTATTAGGCAGTGAGAGTGGGAAATCAATACAACGATGGATATGGCATCTGCTGATCTAGCAGAAACAAGGAAATATTTTAAAACACCAAAACTTGACTAACAGTAAATAGAGAAAAGGGAGATTAAGCCGCTGTCCTGATTTCATAATTTATAACTGCAGAAAATTCATAGTAGAGTGGGAATGGATTTTGAGGAAAATGTTAATTCTTTTGAATGATAGTCTCGGCTAGAAAAATGAGATACAGAATGGTGAAAATCTGTTTACAAGAGCAGTCACCAAGCATCTGAAAGGATGCATCAGTAGAATCATTTCAAATAAACTTTATAGCCTCATTCTGGGCATAAGGCGGGAAGTACTTTAACACTTCCTTTAATGTCAAATAACTGAAGAAATGGGAAGTGCGGTGACCGGCTGGAATGACAGTCCTGGACTGTGTCCAGGAGGAGCAGAAGCACCCCCTAAAGTGGCAAAGCAGCATGGTCATGGTAGTTCAGCAAGAGATGCTAGGAAAGCCTGTGAACGGGTTCAAGGTAGCAAATGATGCTGACAAGCAAATCAAAGTAATGAGGGAAAGGGACTGCCTTGAAGGAAAGTGAAGTTTAGGCTTTTCTTTCTTTTCTCAGTAATTAACCAGAAATGTTTTACCTCGCTTAGTTTACGCTAAGTGTATACATAATTACAGGAAGCAAACCATTACTTCTTTTTTTTTTTAATTTCACTTCCCCACCTCCCCCCAGCCTTTAACTTTACTGTTATTCAGATAATTTCACAGAGGTGTCTCCAAAGGAAGGGAATCCCTAAAGAAAAGTATTCAGAAGCAGAGAGAGTTGCTGGAACTGATTATTTGTATTCAGTGTGGTACCGTCCTGAACAGCTATGTTGTTCTGTGTCACCAAACTGCAGAGATTTCAACTGCGATGAGTACAGAGACACTAAAGAGGTAGGTTACCTAAGCTGATGGAAGCTCCTGTGCTATGAATTAGGCCAGGTAACTGACATGGCTTCTGCAGCACCATCTTTAAAGGAATGCCAAGAGTGCCCTTGAGCAAGTGCCTGGGGGAATTCAGACCCAGATTATGGCTGAGCTGGAAAAGTACGATTTTGGTCATCTAATCTCATTAACTTTTCCCCCACATCACAAAAATACTTTCTTCCATTACTAACGATGGTGTTTTGTGGAAAGGAGTGTTGTGTGGGGAACCTGGAGCTCGTGAGTAGAGTCTAGATCACAACAAATTTTCAACAATGGCAGCACCAATAAGGTCGGTATTCTTCTTGAACCCGAAAATACACAGTCTGCGTGGGGAGCCACATAATACTTCATATTCCTGCCCTCTGGAGCTAAATTATGGATGTAGCAATCCAGAACACTTTAAAACAAAGGGCATACTTGTTAATGGCTACATTTTAAAACACGTAGAAGTGTCAGCATTTTCCTTTTTGACAGGAAACCGAGTAAAACAACCCCAGCTCATGACGGAGAAGAATTTATCTCTAGGGTTCATCCAAAAGTGTTGTGAACTGCCCGTAAGTAGCAAGTAGCATTTATGCACATGATGCAAACATCACCTCTCAGCAACCATTATCACAGCAGGCGCTCCGAGATATGTGTCAGCACACAAGCTTTCAGAGGAACAGTTGATAGCAACGGCATTTGGGCATGGATCCCCCAAAATAACTGCAAGTCAGAACAGATCTGTTCAAGTCATCCACACACCACATACAACAATAATTGTTAAACGCATTCAGTAGGCTTCTACCCCATTTTATAGGCTTTCTAGTGAAGATTACAGAAGATAAACCAAATAAGGCATGTGGAGAAAATTCAATAGGCACAGAAGGCTAACACTGTGAAATATCATATTGGTAGGCCAGCTACTTTAGCAAAATCCAGAAATCCATGTCTTTCTTTAAGCCTGTTTTAGGATACCGTGGCATTGCTATTGGGATCATTCCTTGTAACATGTAATTGCTGAGGGAAAAAGGCTTACAAATAAGTTTGCTTTCACACGCTTTTTCTTACAAATGTGTTTTGACTAAACTCTATGAAAGCAGCATTATGATAAAATTGCAGTCAGTGTGTTAAAAGGTTACAATAAAATACTTTACGTTTTAAAGAAAAAACAGCAAAGAGAACAACAATGAACGGATGAATTTAAATGATAGGTATGTCCTTCTTAGAGAATCGTTACCTAGACTTGAAGCATGTGAGCCCATCTCTACTCGTGGACTGAATTAAAAACAATCAGCCTATAGGACAAATTAACAATCAGTTTTAGCACTGAAAAAACAAGTAGTTTTAATACCACCTGTTTTTTTTCAAACAAGAAATGTTATCATACTCTTTTGGAAAAATATTGTAAGTATATAATGACCAGTAAGTAAATTGGTCATATTCCTGTGAAATTACTGAACTCATATCATAGCCATATGATAAATGAAATAAAAGACTAATATTTCTTCACAACTTTCTTTTGACTAGATAAAAAAAAGTATGCCTGATACTTCAAGGACTTGCAGAGACTGTGCAAATGGTCAGATTCAATTTGAAGGTTCAGGTAGGTTCAAGTATAGCAAGACTTAGAACAGAATGGAAAATTTTAGAATGTAAGAATTAACTCTGCAGCCCCTTGACATCTCTAGTTAATTAAAAATCCACTGTCACCCACAGGAGGAATAACACACCACAGGATATTTCTGTGGAGACTCTGCACACCCTTGGTTTCTTGGTATCACTGATGGGTCTAAATGTGATAAAACTGCCTCTCTCTCACATGGAGAAACGTTTTTATCTGCTTCCCCACCGTAAAACACAGCAATAAAATCTTCCCCCTCTCCAGAAGTTACTAATTGCTGTTTCAACAAGCTGCTCTAAAAAACTTTCAGCAAATCCCAGGATCTTCAGTTATTCAAAAATTAAATAGACAAGGCAATTGCTCCTTCCTTTCAGTACAAGTGTAAACTTGGAGAAAAGATAGTAATCATATTGCTAAATTGCTTAGCAACTGTAGGTAAAAAAGCTAATATGTCATAATTTATATGTGAAAAGATTGCAGGGGGTTAGTGGCCACGTCTACTGCTATTGAGCTTCCCACTGAGAACTGCACTGCAAACTGGCAGCTGACTCAAAACACTGCTATTTTCAACAGTTCAAAAAATGTAAATGTGTCAGTGACTGGTCAAACAGGCTTCCATACTGGTGATTTATTGCAATCTTTCACATTAGCATACTACTGACTTGTACAAATCACTCCCAGGCTGAAAACAACCCCTGTGCATAGCTTTATAATGAATTCAAATGCTGAATCAGTCTTGCTAGCTTCAGAGCAATGTCGGAAGGTAATTTTTAGCAGTCTCAATTAGACAAAGGTAATTTCTGTGGGCCAGATTTGCTAACGAGCACAAAGCTGAAGTGAACATGCTTTTCCAGGGAGCTTTGGAAGAACAGAAGGGGGGAAAAAATATCATCTCTCTCTCAACAAAAGAGGAGAAGCCAGTGGAACAGATCTGCAACAACTGTTTGTGTCCATTAACAAAGAAAAATTCATGGCTGCTGGGCAACTTGTAAGGTTTGGCTAGTGGAGGTGACGGTTTCCCTGAGCAAGGTTTTCTGCAACCGAGGTACCAAAGACATGAAGATCTCTGTGGGCTTTCATAGCTGCATCATCTACATGCGGCAGAGTTAGGATGGTTACACTCAGAAGCTGGAGAATATGAGTATAATCCTAAACCAGTCAACCTTCCCCATACCTGACACACAAAGAAGATAAACGTTTGGGAAAATGTATGTGAAACTTTACCTGCAACCACTGTGACTGGTCATTGTGGCCAGAGGTCCAGGCATTAACTTTGCCTTGCTTGTCCAGCCGGGCTTTCCTGGGCTCCCAAGTGAACATGTCCATGTTGAGTGTTCGGAAAACACTGGAGGCAGTAATTTGGTAGTCCTGTATATGTCCTGATTTCATTCCCAGGGGTTCAGAGCAACCTGGAACAGCAAAATAAGATCTGTGATACTACCTACTTATTTCTGTAGGTGGTTTAGGTTTTCCGTTATGGAAAAGAAAACTAGCAATTCTCGAAGAAAAGGCTTTAATCAAGACTATTGTTGGAGGAAGTTGCAAACAAACAAATGAAAAATAGACAATTCAAGGCACTTTATTTCAACACTACCTTGGAAGAATCAAAAACAAGATTGAGAATTCAACATATTTTATCCTGGCATAAATTTATGAAGGCAAACAAACAGAAAAGATTACTTTTGTCTCTTCTTATCTTGGTTTTATTTTCCTGTCCAGCAGCTTGCTATTGTTTTCCCTATTCGGTTCGATTTTATCATGCTTTTATGCCATATCACATCAACCATGTGCTTGCCTACTGAGGAAACGTTAATTTTTCTTAAAGCCACCGCTGAAGTAAAATGTCCGTAAGTGCTGAGCCTTCTACACTTTCGAATTACTTGGCCCCTAGCAAAAAATTTAGAAAGCCCCAACGCCCACTGACAGTGGAAGACTACAAAAAAACAATTGTGAAGGAAGGAGAATAGTAGGAGATAATTGCTTAGGAGAAATCAAGTGTTAAAGACTTATTTGTTTAAACCAGATGGATGTCCCACATCACTGAGTTATTTTGATTGTAGCAAAAGATAGATCTTGGGCTTCTCCTTTCTCTGTTGGGTGTCCATGAAAAAAAAAAAAAATTAATAAGTGAGTCTATGTTCCTCTGCCATGCTATTTTAGACCGGGAACAGAGAAGGTACATTTGGACCCAGAGGAGAGAAGAAGCAAGCTGACAGCAGGAGAGACACCCTTCCATAGCAGCACTGTAACAACAGTACAGGAAGCCAAGGGAGATAGATGAGCTGCATGGTTTTAAGATTAAAAAAAATAAGGAAAAGAGAGGCAAGTCAAGTAGCTAAGAGTGAGAGGGCTGCTAAGAGGTCAAGAGAGGTGGATGTATAGCTGGGTGGAGTAATGTTTGATGGTTGTTTGAGGAAAAGGTGAAAGATGAGGATGGGAACATAAAAAGAAGCAGTTTTCTCATTTTCTTCCTGGCCCAGCTGTCAAAAAGCTGCATATGTGAGGTTTCCCAAAGTTTTCACTTCACAAATTTGGTGATCCTACTTAGTTCACTAGCTGACTTGATGCAGTTAAATTGCAAATAGTATTTTAACATACTCTAACTCATTGAGTGAGAGTGTGCCCAGCATCTAACATACCTGGTTTTGGAAGCAGTGCATCATCACTGTGAATGCACAGAACCTTGACTTTATGTATCGTTGTGAAGACAGAGGTTTTCCACGACACTCACATCCCACTTCGCTGAACTGGTTCCTATCAGGTAATAATTTGTTGAGTCACCAGCTGTTTTTCTTAAAGCACACATGTAAGTCGTGAAGGCTTTCCTGCTGGGACCATGACCCTGCTCAGCTGGTGTCTCTTCACAGAGCCAGAGCACTGTGTGACCACCTACACCACCTTCGAAGTTTTTATTTTGTTTTTCACTTTAGTTGAGTTAGATATCAAAGCTGGTTCTCTTTTTCTTAAAAGTCCATTTCCTCCACAGTATGTTTATCCAAATTTAAAGACCTGATTCTTTTTTAGTTTCTGTGATACTATTAGCAAAGACCTTTTGGTCAGATTCTACTTTCTGTTTCTCCCGTAGGTTTAACACACAGAATTAAGTGGAATTATTATGGATTCAAATCAGGAAGGTAAGACCAGCCCCTTTGTGGGGGGTCTAACAGCAGGGGCAAATGCATATTACCAGAGACAGATAATAATAATATGCTCTTCAATGTAGTAAAAACTGTATTTGAAGTTTGAAATACTGACATGTTTCATATTAAATTAAAAAATAAACAGAAAACAGAGTTAATTTTTGAAAAAAACCCAACCTTTCAGAACCGATTCTTAGTGCACAAATGGAAATTGCACAGCCTTGTCTGTAGAATGAACTACCTAGTTCAAAACAACAACAAAACAATTTTCCTCGGAGTAGGAGGGAGCAACTGATAGCACAAATGAGAGAGACTCATCTGTTGCTTTAGAGAAGGACTTGGCTCATTATTCAATTCTGAAGTATCACTCCAGAATCACAAGGGTTTTCATCTGAGGAATCTGAAGGAGGTTCCTGACATAAAAACAGGGGTTGTCAAAACTGTTTTTCAGTGCTGGTCCAATCCATCAAAAATAGTTCTATCTTTTCTGAGTATTATTATTGATTTATGAAACAACAGATGTGTCTGCTTGTGTGTCTGTGCATGCGTGCATGCATTAATGGGATCCTCTGAAGGGAGGAGGAAGACAGTTGTTACAGGTAACAGGAGAAAGTGAGAAGAACAATGAGAACCAGAAGGGACGAACATGATGCACACCAGTGGCAGAACAATGTCTTAGTGCTGTGTCACAGAAAGCAACAGCAGACCCAGTCGCTTCCAGCTCCTATGGCACCCTGCTGCAATGACAGAAAATAACGACTGTTTGTTTTGATAGGCAAGCTATAACCTAGAGCACAAAGGACAGAATCATCAAACTAGTACAGAACTTTGTGTCTGTAGATAGTCATCCCTCACAGAAGTGTATTTATAATAATGCTCATGACTGCCCGGGACATGTCCTCTTCACTGCACTGTATCTTCTTTAAATTTGCTTTGCAATGTCCCTGCAAAAGGATTCAATCTCCCTTCCCATTTTTACAACCTGTTAAAGTTAGTGGGAGCTGATGTAGACATACTTATGGCTATGCTCAGTAGAGCATCTTAGTTCAAAATGTTTGAGATGCTTTGGGTACCACTATATGTGATATCTGATAACTCTGTATGTTTAAACCTATCTAGGTATAAGTTTGCAGTTACTTCTTATTTGGTCTAGCTCAGTGGAACAGGAGCAGTGACATAATGAAGATGAGTGTGGATTAGCATCTGAAAATTGAAAGAGTCCACAGGAAGGTTATTCTCTGTTGACTCTTCTGCGGGCACAATATTTTACTCTTCAATCTTCATCCTGTACCCTCATCTACCGCTTCTTTCAAGAAAGCTCAAACCCTCAAAGCAAATATTAAACATCCAATGCAGTGGAGGCAAAACCACAAATGAATCTGCACGCAAAGGTCTACACACCTCTTGCCTTGGGCCAGGATTCATGCAGTATTGGCAAAAGCATCATAGGTCAATTATTTGAGGGCAAAGGCGATTTTCTTTTGATTAATACTGTGATATTTTTATTTTCTGAAAATCAAGAGATTTAAAAAATTTTCTTCCTATTAATGAACATAGGATTTCCTTCCAGATTAGATAGTGCTGAAGATGAACAAGGAAAGGGGAATCTAGTATTAAATGCAGATGTTACGAAGTCTCCTCGTCTGTGAGTTTGTGTGAATGGTACCTATAGGTACTGTTAGGGTAGAGAAATAGTTACCAGAGAACAACACGCCAAAAAGAGGAAAATTGCATGCTCAGAAGATGCAATAAGTCTCACAAGGATGACTAAGTTCTGGGGACCAGCATCCCTCTGGAAGAACCGACAAACTCAGAACACCAAGAATTTGCTGAATTGGTACACAGCCACCAACATACACGAGCACCAACGATGTATGACACGGACTGCATGCAAGAAGGCAGAGCCTGCTATATGCAGATGTTTGAGCGTGTGAGTGAATTGCATGAGTGACTGTGTTGTGAGAACAGTTATCTGTTTTTAAAAACAACAGCTTGATGCCACTATTAGTAACAGCTTAATGAATAAAGGCATTCTAATAAACAGTAGCTGTGATCTGTTTCTCCCCCCACATCTATACTGTATGAAGGGAAGCGAATTTACAACACAGATATGTGCAAAACACAAGTAAGGCAGGAACACAAGGCCATGAAAATTAATGCCTAATTTATTGATGGCCAACTCCACAAACATTGATCATGGTTTTCAATAAGATCTGACCATGGGTCCTGGTAAGTAAAGCTATTTATGAGCCTAGAGCAGATTATATTGAACATTTTGCTGAAGTTTGTCCTAAGAAAGAATTAGTTTTTATGATGATCTAGTGCAGCAAGACAGTCTCCCTCCCTTCAGCAGTGACCCTCTTCTCTAGCATCGGGACTTGTTAGAGAAGCCAGGCCTCTTAAAGTGTTTTTCTGCCTAAGACAAACCACCTGGAATTAGAGTGAATTAGTCTGTCGTTATGTATAATTACACTCTTCTTTCAGTAAGATTGAAATTGTTCTGCTGAGCCTTGGCTGCCTGCAGTTCTAAGGAATGATGACCTTGAAACTGTTAGGAGACCACTGAAATGAATTCACTTCAGTAGCTTTCACAGTTCTTTGAGCAAAACAATTCCTGGTCGTTCTGGCAAGGACTTACTCTAAATTGTGGTTCCAGAAATGGAAGACATTAAAAAAAAAATCTAATAGACTAAAGCAGCTAGACAGAATTTTCTATTTACTCTCAAAGCTATCTATATTGGAAAAGGGCTACAGTGAGATTAATGCATTAACTTTTCATTTCTGAATCTGGTTTTGATGCCACTAGAGGACTAAGAATTATTTAACTCCAGCTGTTTTGATATATCATTCGTGAACTGGATGACTACTGTTTGTACAGTAAGCAGGCAGCCACATAAAAATCATTCTTAAATGAATTCAGTGGAGCGCTCCCACCGGTAAAAGGTTCATCTCTTGAAAAAGATAAAGAATTTACATGCTTTACTGAATTTGTAAGGGAACATGGTTCTTGCAGAGAGTGGCTAGAGGTCAGGCTTTACATTTATGAGCTGTAACTTCTGCTACTACAAACCTTAAGAGGGTTTATATTGGCTCCACTTGTTCATTTACTTTTTGCTGCGAATCGCAATCCCTGCTTCTGCTAGAAATCCACAAAACAAATCTTGACTGAAGCAGTCCAGCCAAATATATCTTACTGCACTTTGAGTGGTCCTCGACGGCAGCTGAAGCACCCTCTGAGGCTGTCACACAGCACGTCGGCGTGGTCACCCAGCAGCCAGGAGAAATTACTCAAATCAGCTTTGATGCCCGCTGCTGCTGTGACTCTGCTGCGCAGCGCTGCACGAACAGCTTCGGCTCTCAGAAACCGTTCTCAGCACTTAGTTTAGCCTTTGCCGAGTGTAACTGTGAGTTGGAGACTCTCTGTCTCATGGTCTGCTTAGCATGTAACATAACGGGTCCTGATAGCTGTTGATCGTTACTAAAACTGCTATAAATGACCTTTTCTAGGCTGCATGTAATTGGAGGCCAATGTGCACAGAAAGATTTATGAAGTGTTATTAGGCTGCTATCACGTTACCCTACTACTATTACTGCCCTACTGCAAGCAACTATTGTCACTTACATCATTTAGGTAAGTGTTGCTGCTTATATCGTTTACATAAAAAGAGATAAGTAACTGTCTGGATAAACTCAGCCCTGCCAACTGCATTTCACCAGGAATAAGGCGCACGCGGTTTAGACCTCGGGCACAAAAATGTGCTGCTTGATGGTCGGCTCCTGCGATGAGGCGATTGCAGAAAACCCACCTGACAGTTCACAGCCGAGAAGTTCCATTCTCAACGTGCAGTGTCTTCTGCACACCTGAGGATACAGCCGTACGTACTGCGACTTAATTGGAGGGGTGAAGGAGTTAGCGTATGGGGTGTTGTTGTCCACGTTTCCACGAAACACCTGTGATAAAACGACATATTCATAAAAATGTGCCAGGAGGATTACTGGAGGTTCAGTTGATTTCCATGCCCTCAAAAACGTCTGTGTTCTTCTCACCTTTCTTGCACATTTCTCTGCAAGTTTTTCCCAAATAGAGGCTGTTTTGTAATTTCTAGTGCCCAACATACAAGTTTTTAAACAAAACATACTGCCATTGGCTTGCATTGGCATGTGTTTGCCACCTGCGCTGAATCGGGACCTCTACCTTGTCACTCCTAGACACTGAAGCTACTAATGCAACCAAATTATGTCTTCTTTTCTAATTAGTGTATTAAATAGTCCCAATTCAATTTAGCCTGCAATTATTTATGCTGATTGACATTTTTTTTTCCCCCTCTACTTCAAGAACCTAATCCAACTCCCACTGAAGTGCACTGTAACCCTCCCATTGATCACACGGGGAGTAAAATTAAACCTACAAGCATTCTTCTATTCACTCCTCACTCTAACCAGATATGCTTGTACTTTGTTTTCTTCCCTCATTATATACCTTTTCACGCAGCATTTTAATTTCCTAATAGAGAAACTATGTCTAATGCTGCAAAGTGCCTCAGTTCTATCTTAACTTACAGAGTAAAGTGATTTTCGTTGCTTTGTATGCACAGCTGTATAAAAAGTAAGTGGTAACTATAAACTGTAAACACATACTTCCCACTGGATGATACTGGTTGTGCAGTACAGAGATTAGCATTGATGAATGGGTTCTATGCCTTTAAGGGTTAACACTAATCTGCCAATGTAATAAAACTAAATTGAAAACAGAGTAATGAGTAATTACTGGTAAACTAATTAAAATGAAAATCAGTTACGTGTAATAAACAGGATTATTCTAGCCTTGGGACATAGTATTTATACAACCATCAATTAAAATATAAGAAATTCTTAGCAGACAGAAAGTCCAAATTTATTGATGTGTATTTTTCAGAGAAAAATAGTAACAAGGCCACCTATATCATACTGTCAGGCAATTATGCTTATCTACTAGAGATACGTCATACTTCTGAAGGCAGCTAAACCATAAGAAGTATTCATATACAGATGACTTAATCTTACCATATCTTCATTTGTGCCTTTTACTTTGTACATTGTCCATGACTTGCCATCATTACTGTATGCAATTTTGTAAGATTTTACATATTCTGGACTTCCAATCCTCTTGGCACCTTGAGTTATAACTCCAGTGACTCTCATCTTCTTCTGCAGGTTTATCTGAAATAACAGTACAATGTTATCACTAACCATCTGAGGGACGCAATTCTGATTCTAGATTCCTTTGATTCCTTTTTTTTTTTTAAATGACAGAAAGGAAAAAATGTAGCAGTAGCATTTAAATTACTATCTTTACACTTGCATTAATTCCTTTTGTCTTTCATTGTCTACACATGCACATAAATAAATGAAAAAAATTGAACCAAAGCTACTATGCTTACGTCTTCATGTGTACATACACACATATATGTTATTGATATACAGGATATTACTGGTGTATTACCGGGATATAGCATATTACTGGTATATAGGATTACTGCTCTACATTTCCTTCCTAAAAAGGAAATGCAACAGTGCAATAATTTACCAAAAGCTGAATGTTCTGTTCTATTAGAAGCCAATTTGCAATCCCATACAAAAGAGCCTCAGTTAACTTCAGGTCAGATTTCTTTGTGAAAGTAAAAATACCTGGATATTCTTTAAAGCAAACAAATAGACCTTTCCTTGCGTCGCACTGAAAATTCATATATCTAAAGATCATGGTTGAAATGCTAATCCCAAAACAGTCAATAGCAAAGTATCAATGGCTATCAATGGATATGGCTGAGTTGACCCTGACACCTTGAAATACAAAATGAAGACGTATGGAGAGTTCAACAATATTCAGATAACCTTATTCTTGCCTTCTTTATCCATCTGTGATATGGGAAAGACAACTATATTCTCACAAAAGTCAGAATGTGATATTCAGATCAAGGCATCATCAGCCTCGTCCCTGCAACGAAGTCAATCATGAAGCAATTTGTGGCAATCGCACTCCCACCCTCTCGCTGGTAGGCAGCTGAAGTCTGTAACTTTTGCACCAAATGAAGCTTAACAAAGAGCCGTCATACTGTGAGAATTGTGTGAAGGTGTGATAAAAGGAGACTAAAGGAAATACCAGAGAGTAAACACTGGGACAATGTAAATAATACATTAAGCTACATTAGCACTTGCCTCCTCCAAATGAATCTTATGTCTGCTCCCCAGTTAGCGGAGCTGACCCAGTGCACTCCCTGCTATTTGGGATAGCAGCCCCAGTACAGGAGTATGGGGAGTCAGAGACAGATCAGGTATCCAATCTGTCCAAATTTGTCAGGTATCCAGGCTGTCCAAATACTTTAATCCCTTTATTCTTTACAGTGTGGTATCAAGATTTTCTCTTACTTGGTAGTGTAATCTAGCCTCTATTAAGGATGTAAGATGATCAAACTTCAGTGTTTCAATATCTTACTGTGTAAACAATGGGGAAGTGGAGAAAGACAGAATTTTACTGCTGTTTTTTTGACGGAGTCTAGCTATTTCTCTGCTACTTATCTGAAATAGTTGGGCTTCTGATGTTTTTCTTCTTGAGGCAAAAGAAATTTCAGTGTAGTTTTACCATAGTTCTCCCTATAAGAAATTAAGAAACGCTCATACACCTTTAGAATAACAATGGGTATTTTAGAGGTTTAGACCCATTGAGATAGGAGAAGCTGCCTATACAAGATCAAATTTCTTATAGGATCTTTCTCACACATACCAGGAAAACTCCGGAACATTTGCAATTGCAATGGGGAGAATGGACTCACACCAGGAATTTAGACAGGTATAAATTAGAAGAGATTCAGGACTTTTTACAGTCTTGGGAACCTTCTTTTCCCCCATTTTGGTTTCCCAGAGGAAAAAAAAAAAAGACACATTATATTTGTAAGAAGACAGCTCCACAGACTACTATCAGCCCCCTAACTAACATAGAATAACAGAATAGTAACCAGCTGGACATAAAGGTTTCTGGAATTCTCTTATGCAGATTTCGCTCTCTACGTGGAATTTAAGAATATTAATAAACAGGCAAGTAAAACAATTTTTCATATGTTTACAAAATTGTTAATAATATTAATAATAACACCATCTCCAAAAACAAATTGGAAAGCACAGTCAAACAGAAACCAGCTGTTGATTATTTGCCTTTTGCATATACTGACTAGTAGTATCTTCACATTTCACGTTTCAGTTTGGGAAAAGGAAGATATATTGCAAAACCAAATAAATTTTCTTTCATCCAGTTATGCACATACCTAATATTCTTTCAGCTTCATTCCCAATTTTTCTTTTTCCAGATAATAATCTTGGGGAGGTTTTTTGGGTGAAAATTTATACAGAATTTTTTTTTCCCTGTTTACTCAAAAAGAGTAATTTCTAATAAAACCATGGCCTTAACCACTGGATGTTATATTCCCAGACTGATTCCTTTCCATGGCCCAGCCTCCATTTCTAATGCACTACAAATCAACCACTGCACTTCAAGAAGCAAAACAATGACAAAAAACCCACCCAAAAGTAATCTGCCAAAGAGTTTAATACTATGGTTGAGACTCGAACTTGAAAAAAACAAAAGTCCTACTGAATGAAGGGAAGATTTGGTCAGATAATCATAAAAATGAAACAAAAATAATTTAATTTTTAAATACTCATTTAATATACATACTGTTTAACCTGTGTTCTTTGAGTTTCAGGAGGTAAAAAGCCTATCTTTTTTCTGCTACATGCCAGTCTGCTCTATACCCTTATCTGGATATCTGTACGCATAAGCTATATAATTTTATTTACTTCCCTGTTTTAACAGACAGAATCTTTTCTTTTAGAGGCTTTCTTGATCGGTATCCATACTCTGAGTCACAGACTGAGCTTTGGCTTTAGGCAGCATTGAGCTTGATATAACACAGGAAATAAAAACAGGATACTGTGTTTTGCAATTAGGTCTACATATTCTGTCAATGTTTGCAGGAAAATCCCAATGAAAGGGGAAAACCCACCGCTTTCAAATGCAGCTTTCTTACATACAAAATCCCCATGGAGCTAACATCACGCCTGTGGTAGCTCCTTTCAGTGCGTATGGATACACCAGGAATTAATTGGCCCTTTGTGTCTGGGTTCTTTTATGTGTTTTAAATTTTTCAAGTCAGAGCTTAGCAAAACTCAAAATACTACAACTGTGCAATGACTATAACAAAGCAGGTGCTGAAATCTGTCTTACTTAATGTACTTCAGTAGGAAGCAAAGTTCCCCACGTGAAATGTGAACTAGCACTTTTAGCACTAAAAGCATTTTCAAAGGTATTTTTCTGCAGCAGTTGTGAAGAAAAACAGCTTAGGAAGCTCTGCTTTGTGGATTCAGATCTAGGACAGAATGTTATATATTCTAATTACTGGGTGACTGTGTTTTAAAAGAAACGAAGAGGTGAAAGTCACCAGGATAAGAACAAGAACATAACACAAACACATCTTTTTAAAAAAGGTAATAGCGTATTCAGTCGTAAAGGACCCCTTATCATTACCTAGATTAACTGGAAAAAATCAAGGATGATAGAAGATCAATAGTATTTTGAGGGATTTACCTCAGTAATTTAAGTATTAATGCATGGTAAAGATCTTGTAAGAAGATACTTGCATAGAAATTTGAGGAAACCACGTACAGAAAAAAAACAGAGACTGATCAGTTCTACCAGCCCTACTTAAATTTAAGGTTATTTTGAGAGTATTGGATTCAGACTTGACACTCGGCCCCTGTCCATGGGCCTGTGTTCAGCCCCAGCTCAGAGGGGGCTCCTGGGTCCAGCAACTTCCACGGGACCTCATTCACCCAACATACGTCAGGGATTTGGCTGCGATGTTCACAAGCAGGTCCGAGGACGCCCGTTGCCCAACATCCCTCAGGGCATGAAGCATCTTATGAGATTTGGGTAAGGTGCCGTTTAACACCTACAGGTAATGGAATCTGCCTCAGACAGGTTTTGCATTTCAATGAGGAACTTTTCTGGGGCTAGAATAAATGATGAACACTGAATCCCTCAGGTAAAACTGCATGTAAAAGAAAGCCAGTAGTCTTGACATCGATTCATTTAAATCTGATGCTACAAGAAATAGATTCTGTCTACACAATATATGGTGGATAATGCAAAGTCACCGTGCTGATATGGAGAAAAACTCAGCTAGAGCACAGGCACGGCAGTCATCCCAAGTTAATAGACAGTGCCGAGGGACGAGATACAACACCTCTGAGTCAGTGCTGTATACACTGTCGAAGGCTGAATTCATGTACTGCCAGTCACTCGGTGCCTTCTATACCATATCATATAGCCAAAACTAAGTAAAAAGAAAATCACTTGAGGCATGCTCTCTTGAGTGTGGTGTATGTCCAAGAGCTGGGGAATAAAATCGCCTCTATCAGTTTAAAAAGTTCCCAGCAGTCATGAAATTTCTTTTAACCTTGTTCCTTTCAACCACCACAATCATCCTGACTCCATGATTAGATCAGTTTTATCATCACAGCAGGTTATAGAGTCATGGCCTCTTTCAACAGGAGAGGAAAAAGTAACCAGCATGCCGTGTTTCCTGCTCTCAGCACTGATTCTGTAGAAGTAATTTTCTATTAAACAACTTTTATTGGTGTACTAATGTTTTTGACTGCAATGACTCACACAAATCTGTTTTAGGATGCTAAATCATTCAGTTGTCTACACTGATGAAGACATAGCCCATCAAGATTTTACTGGAACTTGAAAAAATCCATATCAGAAAGGAAGTAAAACAAATGAAAAAGAGTATTTTCCCAGGAGAAAGTGGCAATATGAACAAGGTAATTTTAGGACTTCCTGTAGATTGTACAGTGCATAATTTTCAAAGGCAATTCAGAACCAGTCCTGCAAACCTGCATGGTGTGTGTGCATCTTCGCTTGTAGGTGTGACTAAATGTAGGACAATCACACAGGAAGGAACTGCTTCATGCTTGTTTTCCATAAACAGTCCAAGGGGCTCCACAAAACAAAGACCAAAAATAACTTCCCAGCATGCTTAACAAACCTTAGAATTGTAGAAAAAAGACTAAATTCACAGTCATAATATGTCAATGTAACAGAACAGCAGAGATTAGGGACAGGACCAGTGGAAGAAGTTCATATTCCTTTTCAATTTGTGACC